GTCACTGGTTAGCAAATAGATTAAGACAGAATAAAGAGGAAAAAATTACTACAGAAATAAAAGATGGAGATAAAAGAAAATCAAAACAAGAAAAGATCAAAAATGCATTTGCAAACTATTCTACAAAGTTACTTAAGGACGAGGAAGAAACACCACAATGGGAAACCAAAATGAAGGAACTTTTAGACAAAGACATAAGACCAAAAATAGCAGCATCACAAAAAGAAGAATTAAATACTAGCATAACTAAAGAAGAAATACACAGAACAATTCAAAATATGAAAGATGGAAAATCACCAGGTTGTGATGGATTAATGGCTAAGCATTATAAAGTCTTTGAAGACAAATTGATAGAACATTTCAAGAAAACTTTAAATGTAATAACCACTGAAGGGAGAACTGATTCATGGGGAAAAGCAATTATAACATTAATCCTAAAGAAAGGGAAAGATAAATGACAAATGAGTAATTAAAGGTCAATATTGTTACTAAATAACAATTATAAAATTAATTCCTCCATCATTGCTGATAGACTGAAAAAAATTATGTTAGAAATTATTAAAGAAGACCAAAATGGGTTTCTTCCTGGAAGACATTTAAGAAATAATATAAGAACATTACTGAACACAATAGAATATTATAACATTCACAATAATAAAAAGCTAGCACTTACAATCATCAACACCAAGAAAGTGTTCAACAATGTAAGGTGGAAATTTATGTAAGAGATATTACGAAAAATGGAAATGGGAAAAACCTTTATAGAAAACATAAAACAGATATATAAACATCAATCAGCATTGTTAAAGATAAATGGATAAAAAACAAAGGAATGTAAAATGTATAAAGGAACAAGACAAGGATGCCTGCTCTCGCCCCTTTTATTTATAATTGTATTAGAAGTTTTGTTAAATAGAGTCCAATCTAACAACAAAATAAAGGGATTAAGAATAAAAGGACATGAAACAAAGGTAAGAGAGTATGCAGACGATTTAATTGTGATATTGGAAGACCGTAGTAATAATGTTGAACAAATATAATACGAATTAAAGCTCTATGGGAAGGTTTCAGGATTCAAAATGAACAAAGAAAAAACTTAGATATTGACAAAAAAATAAATAAATGAAAAAACTGAAAGAATAATTAGCTCAAAAATCAGGATGTAAAATTGGAAAGAAAAGAAAATATATAGGAATTTGGCTTACTAAAAATAACTTAAATTTATATGATAACAATTACAAACCAATGTGGAAGGAACTAAAAGAGGAACTACAAAGTTGGAATAGATTGACCCTATCCGTATTAGGAAGAATATCGACTACTGAAATGGCAGTGCTACCCAAAATATTATTTCTATTAGTCCACATCCCAATTATCTCAGAGGGAAAAAAAAGTAAAGGAATGGAATAAAGAAATAAGTAAATTTATATAGAAAGGGAACAAACCTAGAATAAAGTGGTCAAATTTAAAGTAAATCACAGAATCATAGGGATAGAAGACACCACAAGGGCCATCTAGTCCAACCCCCCTGCCATGCAGGAACTCTCAATCAAAGCATATCTGACAGATGGCCATCCAGCCTCTGTTGAAAGACCTCCAAAGAAAGAGACTCCACCACACTCCGAGGGAGTGTGTTCCACTGTCAAACAGTTCTTAGTGTCAGGACATTCCTTCTAATGTTGAGGTGGAATCTCTTTTCCTGTAGCTTGCTTCCACTGTTGCAGGTCCTGTTCTCTGGAGCAGCAGAAAACAAGCTCATTCCCTCCTCAATATGACAT